TCAGTTCATGTTACATTTACAAATTTTATGATCCTTTTTATTCGGCTCACAACACCAGTCACATCTGTCATTACTTTGATGAATGACTCATTTATTTCAACCAACATTGCTTGTGAGCAGATGTTCTAGGAATTGGTGGGTTTGCCATCACTTTTTCATCCTCCCTGAGATGAAAAAGATGTGCAGCTAATCCCCATTCAAAGCCTTCTAACTCAGTGATTTTCACTATATCCTGTGATAGTGAAATCCAGTGCAAGCAGGCATTGTGTGAAAAAGTCCTTCCTTGCATCTGTACCCCACTTTTGTGAGACGACCCAGGCTCTAGTATCATGAGATAGGAACAAAGCTCTCCTCTGATCTACCTTCTTCACATCTTGCAGAACCATACTCATAAAGGAAGCCACAAGAGCTGAGCAGGGCTGTCAAGGACAAGATGCTTTGGAGGGCATTCATTATACTGTCCCCATAAGTTGGAGACAATGACACCTAACAGCAGCTATGATGGATGGTTGTGTCATGTGACTCTGGACGGCTTCCTGCAGAGTGACTTATTTTGGGGGAACAAGCCACCTGACTATCCATGACTTGTTTTAGGAGTTGTAGAACCCACAGCGAGATGTTGTCATCTGAACCTGGGGGACTGTTCCTATTGTGAGTTGCAAGAGGCAGCAAGCAAGCCACTTTGCAAGAGCAGCAAGAACACCTTGCTGGGCCAGTGACAGCCCTTCCACCAATGTCCACACGGCATTTTGAAACAACTGTCACTGGTACATTACCCCTTTTTCCAGGGCTCCAGAAACTGCAGAGGAAAACAGGATCACAATCAGAACAGGGGGCAAATAACAGAAGACAAGACAGATTCTGCTGTGCAGGACCCTGGGATGTAACATGTGTCTTCTACTACAGAGCTACAGTATTTCTTTTCTATATCAAATTTGTATTCAAAGAGCTGATTTTTGCATCCTATATCAATAATGGGAATGTGCATGTCTTTATTTGTTTTTGTATAATTCTGTGTCAAAGAAAAGAGTTCCTTGGAAATCAGTCTAGCATCCTTTTGGTTTCTGTGATTCCACCAAGAATCTTTCCCAACTTATTTTTAGAATCTTAGAGTGTATTCCTATGATTCTGCCTGGGGAATGCTGAGATTGGATTAAATAGGAAAAAGAAGTTCTACATGAATAGGATTGTACTGTGTATTTCAGGACCAGAAGACTTTTTTTAAAAAACCCTAAGATTTTGTGAAATTTTGTGCATGCAGGAACAATGATAGCCTCAAACAACATACACTGACCTCACCTGATTTGGCAGGCATCTGCCTACAATGGTATGGAAAATGCTAGTGGAGCATTTGACCCCTAAGAAATGGGACTAAAAAAGAGCCGGGTTGTAAGAAATTTGACATTTCAGTGGGAAAGCTGAAGAAGCAGGAGCTACTGTTGCCACTAAGGCCCACTGGGTTTGGGTATATGTGGTAATTCCCACGTTTGTGTTGGGTGGTGTATTCTCATGATGAGTTCATGTATATACAATCGAACTGGCATTTTATTCCAGATTTTCGAAGATTGTGCACACAGAGCTGACTCTCCTGTGCTGTGGATACTGAGGCCAATTGAAGAGGGCATTTTGAATTCTTTTGAGTTGGATTCAAAAGGACACTTGAACTTTTTGGCTCTACAGCCAGATTTTTTGTATTGGTGCTGTTGCCAGGAACTTGGGTGCATGGGTTGTAGTATTTTGTTGTTATAATTGTTCGTGCTGTTTTATTATAAAATTGTTGCTAAGGTTCATTTTGCATGCAAGGTTGCGTGCAATATTCATTAGTAAGCAAACAGCTCCGTAGAACTTACCAGTGTTATACTAGCAAGCTCTTTGTTTTGGTACCATGCTAGATGCCACTCTTTCTGTTCAAAGAATCAAATTATATAATTTTATTCTCAGCATTAGGACTCCTATTGTACATGTGTAATCAAATGGGGACTGTGCAATGTCAACATTCTGCATTCATGGATGTGACAGGTGAACAAGAGCAGGTGCAAATAGAGGGGCCAGCTGAAATAACAGAGATGTTCCAGATTAATAGGCACCAGATGCTGGGAAAGAAAAAGATGCTGGGTGAAAGAGTTCAAACGCAGCCTGCAGGGAGTAGGAGGCCCTTCTAAAAGAAGTCTTGATAGATTGTGCATGGATAGACATGTACGCACTCAGTATGATTTTTACAGTTTCCTTCCAAAGGAAGGAACATAAGTATTCAATATATCAGGAAAAATACATTTACACTTCCAAATCCAAGACAATGCAGTTCATACATTCTTAGTTGCTCCTGCAGGAGGTTTTCCTCTGTAAGGGATACTTGAGAAAGTGTAATTGGTGAGTTGGTAACTTGAGTCCCATTTACAAACATTCATGAAATCTGGAAAACAGGCTCTGTTGATGTTAGACCTAGTTTGTATAGGCATGGCTCTTATAATGTATTTACTTGCTTCTAAGTGGTGCTATAGAAGTGCTTGTGATCAACCTAATTGATGTCAGTGGAAATAAATATGCCAAAACAGATCCAGCTATGTTTGTTTGTAAGAATTTATGACTCATCTATAAAAATATTAGGGGTAGTTTTATATCATGTGCTCCCAGAAAGTATATCATGTGCTGTTGCACATAAGCAGTCATACATGGATCTTTTTCAGAAAGTTCAGAAAAACTATTTTTCTTTCCTTTGGTAAGCATTCTGACAATCTTACTTTTTTTAAAGGAACAGATACAGTTAATAGGAATGGAGAGCAATTTAACCACAAACTTCCTTCCTGTCCATCCCTGCTAGGCATTCAGAGTCTTCAAAAAGTGGTGTGTGTGGGTGTGTGGGTGTAGGGGAACTTCCTCTTTAAAGCTATTTCTTTAAGAAAGAGCTTGCTAATTAGAGGGAAAGTTGTGAGTGGAACGGTCAAAATGGTACTCCATTTTGAAAGAGCAGTAGCTTAATGATGGGTGTGTTCTGATCATCAAACTGTGTCTGGAGATTACATTTTGAGCCACTTATGTGAATGCAAATACTCCTAAGACTTAGTTTTGTATACATATTCATATTATTTGGCCGCAGTAATCACTGCAAAGGTTCTCAGAATCTGTCTGACTAGAATCACAATCCTCTCTGTGTTTATACAGAACCGCCCTGCCCCCACCATGGCTCCCAGCATTCCTGAGCCATGGTTAATTGATGATTTCTGAATTCTGTATTTTTCATGGTTAACAGCCCAAAGTACATAGTTCACACATAACTATAATCCCGCATGCAACAACAGCCCATACTCCAATCATATTCTGGGCTGCTGTTACATACCGATCAAGATACTTTGGTTTGTTTGCAAGGTTTTGCTTTCTTAGGTGAAAAGCAGACACAATGCCGCTGGAGGGATTACCTTCCAATACAAATTGAATGCTTCAGTGGAGAGATTTTCATCGGGGGAAGGTTGGGGCAGACATCCCCTACTGCACTTACTGTGATATCAGTGCCTTCTCAAGGTGCCTTTTGTCTTTCTATTTTCAAAGGGGCACTTCAAGCAGAAGGATGCATTTAGTCATTTTACCTTGACCAGTTGCTCTACCCTCTGCTTTAACTTCACCAGCCCTTAAAGATGCATGCTGATAGCTGGGAATGCTGGGACCTATTTCTGTTTCCGCATGCACAAGACTCTGCCCTAAATTAGGTTTGTAAAGTCAGAAAAACCATCTTTATATAGCCGGGGGAGGTGGGGGGAGTGAGACCAGCCAAGAACTAAAAGCCTGTCATCTTTTTTTTTTTTCCTTTCTGAACACTTTAGTGAAGATTTTGTCTCTAGCAGTGGTGGCAGGGCAAGGGGGAGCAGAAGATTATTTCAGAAAATAGATGGCTGGTTGGGGAAGGTTAAAACTTTACCTACACATAGTAATCCTGATCTGGATTGGGTTCATCTGCATACTTGTAAGAAACAACTATTCAGCTGTCTAATATATAGAAGACTTTAAGGGTGGGGAACGTATTGGCTTCCAGATGCTCTTGGCTTCCAACTCCTTTCGGCCCATGCCAGCATGACCAACAGCTGAGGATGATGGAAGCTGTAGTCCAGCAATATCTGGGGGATCACATGTTGCCACTCCTAATGTAGTTTGATTGCAAGTGCACATGAGAGCTGATCATGATCACATTTAATTAAGTTGTATGCATTTACTTGTATGCTCACTGCTTTGGACTGTAGCCTTGGAGGAAACTGCTGTTGATTTCAGTACAATTTCACAATAACCTACTTAAACCCAGGCAGTCCAACCTAAACATATTTACTCAGAAATTCCATTGAATTTAAAAACACCTTAGGAACCTCAGATAAGAGCCAAACTATTTTGCTCTCATATTTTTAATTGCACTGACAGGTGGGCATTGCAGAAGCCTAGCCTTTGATTCTGCCAGAAAAGTTTGCCTGCATAATTTCCTGTAGCAGCTTGCTCTTGAAAAATACTTTATCATTTCTGTGTATGATAGCGCAATCTCATGCAGATCTACCCAGAAGTGTCTGTAGGTGTGTAAGGTGCAATTCTTTACACAGTTACCTACAGGAAGGGGAGGAACAAAGCAGGCACCGTCCATTTCCATTAACAGGCTGGTTTAGGGTGATGGGGAATAGGTCCCCATTCATATGTTGCTTGACTATCCCGACATCCCTTCCTATTGGTAAAAGGGGCTGGGGCAGATGGGAGCTGGAGCTCAACAGCATCTGAGGAGTGAACAGGTTCTCCACGCTGCAGCCGAATTTCCCGCAAACGTCTGCGAAAGGGCCACAAAAAGTGAATCCTACCTCGCACCAGCACTGCCAGCATTAAGATGTGCGGGCGGGCGTTTCAAATAAAATAGTTTTGCCTTGAATACACAGTTGTCCCTTTAATATTTGTAAACCACCCAGAGGCGGCGTGCGCTTGCCTTGCAAGGCGCGCAGGTGTGGCGTGTCCCGCACGCAGGTGTGTGAACTTTGCCGGGCGCGCGGGAGAAGCGGACCCGGAATTGCTTCAGACAAAGCGGGGCGTCTTTCGCGTTAAACGATCCGGCTGAGGGAAGTCGCCAGCTTGCCGCCCACCCATTCGGAGGAAAGCTCGCTCCCGGCGAAGGCCGCAGGAACCGAAGGGCGCCGGAACACATGGGGGCTGGCTGCGCGCGGCTGCCGGCCGGGGCGGCTGCGGAAGGAGGGGGGCGGCGAGAATGGCGCCGCTGCGCGTGCTGGAGCTCTACAGCGGCATCGGAGGGATGCACTGGGCGCTGCAAGGTACTTCCGCGCTCCAGCGCCGCTGGCCGCGCAGCCCGGGCTTCCCGCGCGGCCCGGGGCGGGAGGACGCCGCTTGTCGGCCGCCCTGCAGGCCGGAAGAGGAAGACTTCCGCAGGGCGAGCCTTGCAAGCAACTCGACAATCTTTGAAAGCGGGGGAGGGGACGTATGGCGTGTCAGCCGACGTTAGATTACAACTGCTGTCTTCGCTGACTGTTCCCCCTGCGGACTAGCGCTGCTAGGCAGCTGCAGGCCGGCACTGTCTGGAGAGACACGTATTCCCCAGACCTGTTTTAAGGCAGCCTTGCTTAATCCAATGTCCTTCGGAGTAGTTGGATTACAGATTCCATTATCCTGAACCACAGTGGACTGGTGGTCAGGGAGTTGTAGCCTTAGCATCCCAAGGGCACTGGGTTGGAGAAGAGTAGTTTAAGATCAGCCCTGCTGTTTGCCCTGCCTTTAGCTCCCATCATCCCCAGCCAGCAAGGGCCATGCTTAGGAATTCTGGGAGTTGTAGTCTAAAAAACTTGGAAGGCACTAGGTTGCGGAAGGCTGCTTGCTTTAAGGGACAATTCTGGGCATGCTGGGAGCTGTAGGCCTTTTTTCAGGCTAAACTTGCGTAGAATTGCACTCTTGAGTCCCTTAAAAATTTAAGGTCCATTAGCTGTTGTTTTTGCTTCTCTTCTGGAATTTCTTCTCTCTCTGGCCTGCTGCTTTGTCTGCCAACCTCTGCCCTCTTGCAGTTTTCTAGGACCTTCCCCCCTCCCCACATTGTCCTATTTCCACAGGAAAATTGCCAGTTTCTAATCTTATTTCATTTTTTAAAATGTGGCTTTGCCTCTGTGCCATCAGTGCAATTAGCAGGAGGACTTTTCAGTTTAGGAACCCCCTATGCAAAGATACATCTCCTTTGTTCTCTGTGCACTGAGGTGCTTTTTTAGACTGACTTGCTCCAGCTTACTGAAATGTGTAAGAATAAGAAAATTAGGGCTGCTGTGATTCTGGCTTCCCAAGAAGCAGTTAAAGGCACAGAATAGAAAAGGTAGTAATGTCCAGCAGGTATTTTTAAAGTAGTACGATTATTTGGACTCATTCTAAGACTTTTGGAAGCTGCCCTATCATAGATCTGACAATTAGATCGTCTAAAAATGGAGTAGAGGAGGGAGGACTATGTAAGCTGCCTTGGGTTCTTTGTAAGAGAAGAAAAAATGCAATGTAATAGAAGAACAATTCAATACAGACTTAGGCAGAGCTGCCAGGAGCTTTCCAGAGCTTCCTGTATGTCATTGGTGATGGAGAACCTTTTACAGACCGAGTGCCCAAACTGCAACCCAAAACCCACTTATTTATCGCAAAGTGTCAACACTGTAATAAAATCTGAAAACTCAGGTTTTAGTGTAGAAAAACAACTCACAGCCGGTCCAAGCAAATATATGTATATCCTTGGCAGTGCACTGACTGGCCATGTGAAAGCTCGGATGAGTCGTGGCTCATGACGTTATTGCCTGGCGCTGCTATTCGTTTCTGAGCATGCGCGTGACCCCTGTGTGTGCTGTTATCTGATGCTTGGCTCCTGGGACGATGCTGGGGCGACTTCACTTGCATGCTGACTGAGAGGGCTCTGTGTGCCCAATGTGGTACATGTGCCATAAGTTTGCCACCACTGACCTAGTACATAGAAACAGACCGAGTAAGAATGGGTCTCCCAGGCCATCTAGTCTGACCCCCGGCTCCACTCACAACATGCCCACCATGTACATGACCATTTAAAGTGCTAATTGCAGGGGATGAATCTTGGACCCTCTCTATGTGAAACGTAGATTCCATTGCTCACCCGACTTTGCCCAGAGTTTGCACAGGGTTGGGGGAAGTGTGTCCCTCTGGATATAACTGGATTGCATCTCCCATGCACCCTTAGCCAGCATAGTTAAGAGATGAAGGGAAATGTCTAACTCAGGTAGGCATGTCATGAGTGGAGCCTGCTGGAGCCAGGGGTCTGACTAGATGGCCCAGGAGGCCCCTTCTGGCTCACTCTGTTTCTATGTTTTTATGTTGTTGAAGGCAACACATTTCTTATCCTCCTATATTTATGCAACTCAGTTCACA